GAGATAAGAGGGCTGTCGGTTAAATTGTTTACTAGCAAAGGTGGTACGTGCAGTTTCATACGGTAACACAAGGTATATCCTCAAAATTAGCGGGTCCAAATCAATGGTTTTGTGTACTTTTAATATATATATATAATATATACAATTTAATATATATAATTTTCGAACCGACTAATTCTGTAAAGCTCCGTTGTGGGAAACCTATAATTCTTAAAATGTATTACTTTAAGTAAGGATCTGTGAGGTCTTTCAAGTTTTATGAATTTAGTTTTAGAGGCTCCGCCCCAAATTGGGTTACAATATACAAGAACGGATTGTGGTACGGCGATATACACTTTAGTCATTAAGTATTTTGTTGTCACGTATCTAAGGTTTTTAAAAATCCAAATGAGTTTTTTGAATTGAGAAGAAACAAGATTTACATGGTCATACCAGGTTAAATTTTGGTCAACTATTAATCCAAGATTTCGTTTTATCAACCTTGGATATAATCGGACAACTACAGGTTTGGGTGCAATTAAAACCGTTCTTATGAATTCTAATTTCATGTTTGAGATCGGGTTGGCCAGAGTTACGCATAAAAAACAGATGTAGTTTGTTTTTGCGGTATTTAATGTAAGAAGGTTTTCGTTTAACCATACAAAAGCTCTGGCTAATCCTGCCTCACTAGCTCTGTACACCTCGTCCCAAGTACTACCCGAAAACATCAAGGCAGTATCATCAGCGTAAGAGATCACACTTCCCATTTGTATATGCATGTTACATAGGTCGTTTATGTCAATAAGGAAAAGTCTTGGACCTAGGACACTTCCTTGAGGAACACCAAAAGTAATATCAACGTCATTACTCACATAACTACCTATCTTTGTACTTTGTTTACGTTCATTCAGATAGTCGGTCAGGAGCGTAAGAGGTGTACCTCGAATACCAACGTTTTCAAGCTTCTGGACAAGAATAGGAACCGAGACGGTGTCGAATGCTTTTTTGTGGTCCAAGAAAACTGACAAAGACTTACGACCATTGTCTAGGTTGTGAACAATCTATGACGTCAATGAAGTTACAGCATGTATGTGTGTGGATAAGTGTTTACGAAAACCAAATTGTGTCTTAGCTAGAATATTGAATTTATTTAAATAATTAACTAAACAAGTGTGTACCAGTTTTTCAAGAATCTTGGATATGGAGGTAAGAACTGAGATAGGTCTGTAATTGTTGACATCGTCTCTGTCTCCACACTTCTACACAGGTGTAACAATAGATTTTTTAACGCTTTAGGAAATACTCCTTGTGCAAAACAGAGATTAGCTAAATGACAAATGATTGATACGAGTATGAATTTAGATTTCTTAAGGAAGTTATTTGGGATATTGTCCCATCCAGGAGCACTATTACAATCAACATTCATAAGAATAGAGTCAACTTCATAGGGATCAGGGTCCATGAGAACAAAAGAGGATACTTGTGAGTTTCTTTTACTAGTTAGGAAAGAGGGGTGTTGAACACAATTATTAGCTGTAATTTCTTTTGCCAAGTCTGAAGTTCATATTTACGTTTAGTCTTTTTTATTAGATTAGTGCAATAGTTCCTATATCTCCTGTATGTAATACTCAGTACCTTATTGTTAGGATCAGATTCTAAGTGCTTTTGCAGATAATTCCTGTTCCTGACACATCTCAACAGACCATCTGTTATATAAGACTTAATTATCCGTCGACTTCTAGATAATATCATTAAATATCATTAAATTTTTTGTGTGTAAGGTAAGTGCGGTTTTAATTTTATTAATCAGTAGGTTAGGTACTTCGTTTAGGTCCGTTAAGAAAAACAACCCTGCTAAGTTTGACAGTTTTAAACTATCTAGGGCCTTTTCGTAGTTGATTACAGTTTTAGTATTTTGGCAGGTGGACAAAGGCGTGAATGATGATAAATTTAATAATACCATTAGATGGTCAGGAACAGATGTATCAAGTACAGAAATTAGTGCAGATGTTCTACTTTTGTCAATCTTTAGCATGAGATGGTCCAAACACGCATGTTCCCTGGTAGGGTAAGAGTGACCCAAGAGTGAGATCCTTCTTAATGTGAACAAAAGAAAATATGAAGATAAATTTGGTCAATTTTCAATAGCAAATATAAATTTATGGACGTCGAGGTCTATTGTAGAAAACTGAACATGTCCTTAAGCTTAAAAATGTGTAGTGCGCGCTAGTGCGGGGCGCAGTGTGCCATACCTTGCGGTTCGCCGCGCCCCTCCGCGCCCCTCCGCGCGGAGAAGCGTTGTCAGCACAGACATTTATCTAGATCTAGGTAGACGCCGCAAGTACAGCAATTTCTATGACAACCAAGCGTGCCACATTTTTTGTACCCACTATGACGTCACAAGAACTATTTAGTGACGGAAACCTCCTTCCGTTCGCTCTAAATCTATTGATTGAACGCAATACTCGTGAACGCGCGTATTTCATTCAATTAATCGATTCTAAATAGAATAATTTTTGTTCAAGTATTTGTTGATTACAATTAGTCGTAATATTAATGTACTAGAAAAATACTAGAATAAGATAGTTAAGCCCTTTATTTTACATGTTTTTAATAAAATGTTGATTACTTAAAAAATTTAAGACTTTAATTTTAATTCGACTTCAAATATTAAAATTATTGTTCTTCCAATAAAATGAGCTTATTATATAACATCTTTTTGTAATAGAAGATCTTATCGATTAACTTAAATAATTAAAACGCACGTCAGTGTATGAACTTGCGACTGCCTTAATAAATTTTACTAGATGGTTTTCTGTTGGTAATTCATCAAATTGATGAATGATAAGACAAATGAAAATGTTACTGCTGACAAAATATGGTAAAATCTTATTAATCAGAAGAGGTTTACTTAATGATGGCCTCGTGTGAAATTTTTGTGTTTTGTTTATTATTGCTCGGATTTCTAACTCTGCTACTCTGCATATTTGGAAAGCATCTTAGGTGGAATAAACTAGACCACCTTCGTCCTCGAAAGCAATGAACTCATACGTATGACCAACTCCAGATTTTTGTAAAGACAGCACACTGATAATTAATATTTTTAATAATTATATATTTTTTTGTATTACTCGTAGTACATATCCGGCGATGTATATAATTATTTGCTCACTATATTCGGACATTCGAGGCAACGTGCTGCATAAATCATCGAAATTAAGAAAGAAACACACATGTACAAGCGGCCGTACCACGAAACTGAATCCATTATACAAAAGTGCGTTCGTTCGACATTCTTGGCGTACAAATCAAGAGGCATACACTAGGTTGCATATTTGTTTTCTCGAAATTCATACAAAACCAAAATAGTTGTTTTTAAAATAAATTATGCATCTTCTGATTACAAAATTACTTGCCCTGTTTACCGATTTACTCACAGTTATGGTGTTTTTGCAGTTTATAATGGCACAATTATGCATTTTTCGCGTTTTCGACTGGTGTTTATCTACGGTAACGGTCGAGCGCGTTCTGAAGTGTCGCAGCGGCAAGTAAGTGAATTTCACGTACTTTAGGCACGCGAAGTACGTACTCGTACACTTGCGGCGTTTATCTAGATATGTCTGTGGTTGTCAGCGTGTTCGACGGCGCGTGTTTTCCATACAAACTGTGGTACTTCAGTACAACGTTAAAAAACGCCGCTGCGCGCTCCGTCGCGGTGCAGTGTGATAATCGCCTAAGAACTCACATTAAGCAACGATTGCATAAAATGCTATTAGTAAAATAAAAAAACAGTGTATATTATAGCAGTGCATATTTATTTGAAATACAATAGTAATAATTAAAGGAACTTTAAACAACAATTTAATTCAAGTGTTTATAGAGTTTACTAAAATTAACTCCTAATTATTAGCGTTAATTAGGAAGGCGGATTGTTACTCAAACATCTGGTGATTGTAAGGCGCGACTTCGATGTGGCCATGGCTCGTGCGACGAGACGGAACGCAGAAAACTTCATAAAACGTGATACGAAGGGGCGATGACGTGGCAGAAGATGAAACAGGCCTTGCCGACATGGTGTGGGAAGGCCAAATCGAGGAGCTTTCATTTAGAAGAAAAGCAAAATGTATCATGGATATTGTTATCCCCTGAAATGTCACAAGTACCTTGTTGAACCTCTTTTTAATGTAATGCACTTTTATGCAGGGTTATACGTATGTTTTAAGTATGAAATATTAATTTTCCGTTTTTATAGGAACAATGGTTTTTGTCACTAATAGAGCATAGTGTCAAAAAGGATTAAGAACTAGTACAGCATTCAGAAATAGCTTAGAAAAACCAGTTTTGGAAAGAACTCTGTATCGCCATCTCTACGAATAACCTGTGTATATCTATATCCTATCTATGTACAAGTGTATACGACCTTGTAAAATATTATATATCACATCAATAGATAAACGTTAATGGCTTCCGTTCTTTATTAGATATAGAAAAACAGTTTGCCAGTTCCTATTCGGCCGGGATAGTGCCTATTATGTAATTAAATATTTTCAAATTTCAGTTCAACAACCTGGAAGTAGCAACCTGTAAGATCGGTATCGCTCCATTCATGTCATTCGATATGCGATGAACTATACTGTATATGTGTTAGGTATTAGTCGTGTGTTTAGAAATCACTAAGCCCGCCGCGGGGCGACAGCAATGTGGCAAATTTAACATTTTAAACAAACGTACGGTGCGTCGAAAAGTGCTCGTTAAAGGGGGCGCGGTGGTGTCGCTGCAATTACAAGTGCCTGCGAAGTTACTACTAAGTTACTTCTAGGTACGTGCGTCGCGCATCACCAAGGCGTACTATTCGGTCTACTAGCGCTTCATGATACTTCGTTAACTGCTCTACGCTTGTGTCAAATTGTTTATCAAGCGATGTTCACCCAATTCAATTTTATTAATCCATACAAACCAAACGTTTTTCATAAGCAGGAAATTTTATTTTTGTAATTAAATTGTGAATGAAATGGAGTCAATGTTAATCTAATCATTAATCAGCGCTACTATTATCAATGACTGTACATGCACATAAACCAGTGAATGTCAATAGTTAATGTATATTGAATATATTTTTGTAAAAAAAAATGTATGCCACTAAAAACCTGCATGTGAAAAGGGGTCAAGTTCAGAACAACTAATAAGCAGGTGCGTCGACTTCGCCGATCAAACTATTGAATACTAAAGGGTACTAACTTCAATCAACGCTCCTTGAAACTGACCTATACATACGTACATCACAACACAACAGCAACATTGGCAATGTGTACAATGCTTTTGCAATTTTATAGTTGTAAGTAGTCAGCTGTCAGTGAAAAACGTTCTTAAATATAGTATTTTTTGTAGTGGTTTTTTAAAAAGAAATGCGATTGAAAGGTGTTATTAATTGTATAGATAAACTGATAAAAACAAATTCTCGAGTCAACACGCACCAAGTCTCGGGCAGGGCCATCACGCTGTTTACTTAATCGTCGCACCTTAATTTTCCACATAATTCATACGAACTGATAACATAATTATTTGTTTATTTCTGATAAGAACATTTAAATGGCTAGCTTTACTTCTGATAATGTCTAACTGTTTTAACGAAAAATGGCACCTAATTTTATTGAATATAAAGTACCACCAGAAAAAACCCTTGTAACTTTGATTAACAATAAAAGTCTCTCGCGTGCCCGCTATTGGGTGTAACGTGTTAGCAAACCAGCGCCGGCGGCGTCGTCGCCGCGGGCCGGGTGAGGACGTCGGCGTCAGTGGCTCACAGCCGTGCACAATGACGCAGAGATGTCGTTACGGAAGTCATTAAGAACAGCAAGACACAACGCGCCACTGCCGAGCGCGTCTCGCGCCCTACACGGACAGAGTTATGACTGTTGTGTGGAACATTAGAATATAAATTGCCATAATGAGTTGTAACAAAGCAGCTTGTAGCAGCTCTTTATGAACAGTGTTCTGTGGGTATATCATAAGTAAATTAGTAAGTACAAAAATAAATAATGTTTTTTCTTCGGTCGACGTGAGATGAAACGATAAATTGATTTATTGAAATAAAAATGTCTGATCATTGCAATGTGAAGCAAATGGTAGCGTTTATGTTGTGAGCGCGAGATGCAGCGGCGGCGAGCGTAAATCAACGCCGCGCAGGCGCACAAGGCTTGGCGTGAGCGGCGCATCGCGATAGCCGCTGACCCACACCCGCCGGCGAGGCCGCGGAGCCTGCGCCCGCGCAGGTGGCTGGAGATCTACTCCGAATGCATAACGTCTTTTCTTTCTCTTGTTTATAACATGAATAACTTTATTTGAAGAAGAACCTGTGGCAATACTTTTTGATGGAGCCAGTCACTATTCATTGCTATCAGTGGAATAAAAAAAATTAAGTTGAACATAAATATTACGTTGTATGTGCAATTGTGCTCATTGAACATCCGTATAATTAACAGTATTATTGTTTTTATTGAGCGTAGATAAGGAACTTGTACAACAATATGTTCATACGTCGCTCGATGTAGGCTCTATAAATTACGATAGAGCTCGCGCTGGCGGCGGTGAGCCTTGTCGAGCCTCGACTTAGGCGATATTCACGGCGCGGGGAGCGCGCGGGGGGGGACTGAGAAAGCCAATAAATAAATTTAACTAGATTATCAGCGGTCGGACGCGCGGCCCGGGCGCGCAACGCGGTATCAAGCTGCCATTTCCTTTTTGTACATCGACTGTACTCGTACTCAGCTTATTAATAGGAAACAAAATACATACTAGTTTTATATATGCACGATGAGAAAAAACCACAACGGAATAGATATGTTGGGCTCGTCGCTCTGAAATGTAGAGATGTGGATTTAAAAATTGAACTACGTAATATTATGTTGGACATGCAATTGTGCTCATTGAATACCGCTACAATTAACAATATTGTTGTTTGAGAGTTGATAAGGAGTTTGTGCAACATTACGGAAGTCGGTCTCGGTCCGTTCATACATCGCTTTGTGTAGTCTCACCGTCTACTGCCAAAACCCACCGTACAGCTGTAAGATATGCAAGCTTGTGAGATTTGCAAACCACCAAATATGAGAAACGTCCTTCAAATTGTGGGTACTACTTACCTTACCGCATGCGACCGGCCGGTGCACGGCTGATATTCAAACCACGCTGCTTTATGGCACTGCGCCCGCGCCGCCGCCGCCGCGCACGCAATTACACCGCCCCCTCCGCCGCTAACTCCGCGCCCAGGCGTGAGAAGATTCGCTCTGGTCAAGAAAAATCTAACGTTGAGAAAGTGCCACTTCTTGGACATTGTGTTTTAAAAAACAATTGAATACATACAATAATCGTAGATTTTAACAACTTCAAACAATTCAGTAGGCACGACTTTCTCTTCAAAGTGATTTTCTACTTACCTTTCTACGTAACTTTTTTTGACTAGACAATGGTTTTCACAATTGACGGAGGTCTAGAGGTGTTATCCCGTAAAATACATAATTTGCCACTCATGCGCTCGCTGACATTAAAGTCATAGTCAAAGATTGTTTATTCCATAGGTAAAATAAATTTACACTTGAAAACGTCACATTTAAGCTATTGCTCGTTCACTACGCTGACCTCCATGAGAAGAACGAGCAAGAAACTCTAGAGATTGCTCTTTTCAAATAAACTTAATTGCTATGGAATACACTTTGAATCAAATTTATGTGGAACCTAGAGCCACATATACATCTTTATCTAACACGTAGTCTTCCATTTAGTAATATGACTTTTCAATCAAACATCTTTAATGTAGTTTTTAAACTTGCTATATGATAATCTTAATATATCCTCCGGAATCTTATTCTATAAACGTATACAGTTCCCTATAAAGGAGTCGTTTACCTTTGGTTAAACGAAATCGTGGTACAATGAGTTAGGACTTAGCTCTAAGGTTAATATTATGATATCGTCTTTCTTGATATCAATATATTATATAGGTATATTTTTTATTACGACTGAAGGCGGCGGATGGGCATCGCACTCACTCGAGCTTCTAACAGCGATTTCTTAAAGTATTGCCTACATCTATGATTATAATAATAATATTAGATATAATTCGTAGTTAGTTAGACATTTTGTTTCTTGAATTCCGAATTTTTATACGTTTCTCAAATCGCATCAATGTTTTTGCAGACTGGATGTGCAGTGACATTAAATGCGTATTATGAATCTGCGTCCAAACTGATACTTTAGCGAACGAACAACATGTGAGAATTCTACAGTGAGGTTTGGTTAAGCCCAAGGAAATGAACGTCCGGTATACGTATATTAAGTAAGCACCAAATTATTAGATAATTCACAAATACGCGTAGTACGACAAGAAGTTGCAATGTGTTAAACGGAGTCAGATGCCGCGTTCGGAAGCAAAAAGAGTGGAAGCAAATGACAGTGGCGATTACGGCAATTAAACCTCGCGCGGGGCGGGGGCGCGGGAAGGCGCAAAAACAGAGCAGCGCTCTCATGCATATGCGCTCGCGCCGCTCGTTGTTCCACGAGAGCATCCAAGGGTCTCGCCGACGAAGTGGCTGCTAAGATAACACCTACAAGTCCCTAACTGTTCTCTGGAAACCAATCTCGCTCCTTGTTGTGTAGCGCAACGGTCTCGAGCGATTTGTTGTCTGCTTTAAAGCATGTGCGATTTTGCTCTGGGCACTTACTGGGCAGTGAACCTGCGTTCAATTTAATAACCTCGTAAAGACGTAATCATAATGTGCGCAACTGATGCGGGCAAATGGACCGGCGCGCAGTGGGCGATGTCGGTGTCATCGTCGCCGAGTGCAGGCACGGTGCTGCGGCTGCGGGACTGCAGCTGCTGCATGCCTGCTCCGACGAAGCGCCGCACCGGACGAGTGTGAGTTTTTTTCGAATCGCGGGCGCGGTGGCAGTGCGGCATTTCCTACATTATCATGCGTTTAGTTTTTGTGGCGACAATTACGCAGCATCAGTATGCACGCGGTGGCCGCGCGAACGGCCCCGCCCGCGCCCGCGCGGCCCCAGGCACCCCTTGCGCGCCGTGGTGTTTTTGCCGCGACGTGCGCGCCGTGGGAGTGTCGCACTCATGTCCGTCGCCTGCTGCTTAGCTGCCGGGCTTGACGCCAAATCACGTACACGGAACATTTTATCTGCGCATAGTGTAGCAGGAGATCATTAGCTTTAAGTTAGAAAATGATGTCAAATACATAAAACTGTACAATAATCTGCTTGATGTTCTACGCAACATATAAGATTACAGTACCAGTACTAATTTTGCTTAAAATAAAAGCGGCTTGCAGGGTCTCCCTTTAGAGTCAGCTGATGAATTCATCAGAAGAATTCAATAATATAATTTTATGCTCGTATGTGCGATATTTCGCGGAGATGCGTATTATATGAGCCGTGATGAATGTTTCATTATTTAAAGCAGCGAAAAAGTTACCGGAATTTGGTATGGCTATCTGGATCCCGCGGCGTGCGTCTGCGCGGCGGCCTGCGCGCGCAAAAACGGTCTAATTCAAACGAACCGATACCAAGACTGTTTACAGCAGATTATTTTTTTTAACGTTTCGTGTGTTCATGGAGGTGTATCTCTATAAGCAGCAGTAAAGCACCAACGTAACATCACTTGTAAATTGCAGTAGATAGCAATGTCCAAAGAAACATTTCACTGACCGTTTTGATCACATTGCTTTGACATTCAACAACAAACGTGTTGCAAAGTACCACCACATTTAATAAAAAGGAGAAGGATTCGCAGTTGCGCGGTGTCCAGGCCCTACTTCTGTGCCGAAACGTGTTATGCATAATTATTATATTTCCCTATGTTAGATACTTTTCGGAAAATACAATCATTTAATCACAATCTCATTTGATGGTAAGAGACGATGTGCTCGCCTATGTTCGCCTATATTCTAGTTTTATTACCTACGAGTATACCTATATGCCATTTGCTGGCTGGTTTGGCTGGCACAAGTACTCAACGACAAATGACTCAGATAACAGATGTCACGTTCAAGCAGTATCTCTTCCATATTTACGAAACTTACTAAAATAGGCGATATTATATAATTCAAAAGCGTACAAATATCTAGGTACACTAAGCTGTTACGCCATGCAAACTTACACTTTATTTTAAATAAGAAATACAATAAAAATGGAAGTAAATTAATTTGTTGCTCCGTGAACCAAATACTCTAATTACTTAAGAAATACATTTTTTTTAAATATATTACGCGTGATCCCGCCCACCGTACATTCGATTAAGTACGGTGTGCAAAAACCTACCAAATACAGCCTGTATAGTAAAGATATAGGCATGGAACCAAAATCCCGGCTCATGGCGATGTCAGATCCTCTCTTTTATATATAAAGAACTCTTTAGAAACTTGTCTTGAACTTGTTCAGGTTACTTATTTGTTTAAATCAATTTTATTCGCTTTCCTACTTCAGTACGGAATGTGTGGACTCGGATTTTTGCTATTTGTGTATGCAGAGGAAGACGGAATGCGGCGGCAGCGGGCGATGCGGCGCGGCAAAGGCCGCTGCGCCCGCGCTCCTTTCATGTTAATACCGCTCATAATATTCGGGATGCCCCACCGCTGCCGCTGCCGCCGTCAGCCGATTAAGCGACAAAAATTGTTACTATTTTTTACCTCTCTCTTGTTGAGTTCGCCCTTCACCGCAGAGTTATCATCAACGAGGCATTCGAATCATATGGATATTTTGGTTACTAGCTTTAGAGTGTACAGCGAAACCAGTTTCTGAAGCCTTTCAATTACGCTAAATGGGTGCGATAATCAGGTAGCAGCACAGCGTAACTTGAGCAGCGTCGATCTCCACGAGGACCATCAATCACCCGGCCGGCGCCGGCGCCCTGTCCTGCATTCGCATTTCACCCTTCTCGCGACATTAGTGGCCTGTGAGAGCCGCTGGCTGGCTCCTCAAACAAACATTCATCATCCCCTATATTGTCAACTCGCCGATCAATACATCAATATAGATTATACACATTCCTTAATAGAGTCAAACAAAGAACCCGTGATTTGTATAATCGCGTTGGCTCATTTCGGAAGCCGCTCGTCAAACAACACGCTGCGTTTTTTGTGCGCCTAATGGCGGCCAGCGGCGGCGATTAACCTTAATTTATAACAATTATCGCCGCCGCGTAAACACAATAGTTAAATTCGGTAACACCTTCATTAATAGAGTAGCTCGTTTCGTACAATTCCACCTAGGTAGAACGGGCCACTGCATTCACAGCTCTAAGGCAACGCGAGAGGGAGCACGTTCCCGCGGAGCGCTGTGCGGTGGTGGCGGGTTATTAAAAACGCATTAGACGCAAAGCGATCGCTGCGCGGCTGATATTTGTAAGCTATGATATCCGAAACAGTTAGATTAGACTCAAGGCGCTTTTACGCCTCTAAACAACACTTATCGAGTTGTGCGGCGCATTCCTGTAATGTCTTCATTGTTCATATCGTGCTAGAATAAACGGAAACAGATTTGAATTTTAAATTGAAGGCGCTGTAGGTATATGTAAATTGAAGTAGGTAGTACTTACTTGTGATGATCGCAGGTTCAGAAGGGTCGGCGAGATTATAGTAATTTGAATTTGAGTTATTTGATTGATCGGCGTCTGGGTCCGCTGCTGCGCGCCGAGTCGCCACGCGGCCGCGCCGCCCGCGCCGTCCGCGCCCGTCGCAGGTAGCTTCCTTAATAGTCAAATAATCTCCGAGGAGGAACATCCGATGCTGCAGCTGTGACTCATCGAATACCAAGGTTGAGCTTTATTTGCTTGAGCTTGTAAGGGCACATGAGCGAAGCTGTTACATGTGCATTTGTGTAATAAAAAGGTGGAAACGCGATGTATCAATCCAAAGTTAGCTTGTGTGAGTACAGTACAGGATGGCATCATCGTGACAAATCACCGGCGCCAGCGTCACTCATGCATTTTCATCCAGAGCAGAGTATCTACTAACAGCGGCAGAAAAACGTGGCGACGGCAGAGCGGTATCAGTGCGTAATTACAGCGGTTCCCAGTCGCAACCAAAAAACGCTGCGTTTCTATGAACGACTTCTTACTTACCCGGTTATGAATGCAATGAATGACATTTTTAAATGCCCATTCAGCCGGTATGGCCACCTCGCTCAACAGCGAATGGCGACACTCTGACACAGAGACTACATCTTCGCGAAGTGTATATACTGTAACATTTACTCGGTTATTCACTGAACCAAACCGCAAGGTTAGTGTTTGTTGGGATGTTAGACATGCCGCAGTACCCTGCCAAACTTGTAATGAGTGATATCGTCATCCCGAGGTAATATTGTTCATTTTTAACAAAGCAACCATATGTGTAAGAAATTGGCTTGGCTTGTTTACTTTGTTGCATTTATTGGCATATTTAAATAAAAATGTAGACAAGCTTTACTTCAACATTAATGTTTACAAAAAGTAATAAAATATACATTTAAATGGTTAACTGGTCGAGATAAAGATAAGCGTTTTTGTGTGCATACAACTGCTTGGAAATTAATTACGCTGGAAAGTAGAGCCACAGCGCAATTACAGTATATTACTTTAAAAGTTATCGAGTGAGTCTAGCGATAAATAAATCCACGATGAAATAGAAGTTATCGTTGTTCATTTATTCTACGAGTGTCGAGTTTTGCGCGAGGCGATGTTTTTGTGGCAGCGAACCCATTCCAGTGAGCAGCGGCGACATTCCCGCGCCGCTATCGATAAGCGCTTACTAATGAATAATGTTTTTGCCGACTGTCAATCATATCCGCGGCTGCGTGATACTTACTATTCAATACTGGGAAGTGTGAGGCGCCGCGCGCCGCGCGCCGCACCCGGCTCCGCGAAACGCGCTCGCGCCTCCGGCTCGGGTCTCCGTTGGCGATAATGGCGAGGCGTTCGTGGACAGTTCGCGGGTGTGTGGACGGACGAACCTCAACCGGCGTTTGATGGGCATACACAAGGCAGGACGCGCCTGCCCTCGTGAACGCTAAGTTTCGCTAGATGACCGTTACAAAACCTATGCCTTTCGATGATAATGTTAATAAGCTCATCTTTAACGAGACGTATTGAATAAATCACTGGTTAAGCTGAAATGAGCGTTTTCGTTAGATTAAGTTTTTCTTTACGCATGAAAGTGACACATTTCAATCGATGAAAGGGTACGAGTGGACAAGAGTACCTATACCGATGTAAATTGTAGAGCAAAAACTGGGACATGTAAATGTGTGAGATTGATTCTGAGTAGATTGTTGAGCGCCGAGCGCTGACCGTTGAGCGCTCCATGGGTATGGGTATCAATATTAACGAGCCTCATATCGATACTTATGTCTGCGCAAATGCAAACTATTCAATAAGACTCCATGTTCGAAAACGAAGCTCGATCTTATTACTGAGTTAACTGTACATAGCTGTTTCCCTTCGTGCAGACTTAAGAATGACTTCTTATGGGCCAGCGACATATTACACGAATATTCCCGTGCCGCCGGGGCCCGGGAGATCGGCCCGAGAGGTACGCGGAGTGGCAGTATGGTAGCACGGCGTTTCCCACGGCACAGATGCCCTTAAACGCGATTCACGCAGGGCTGTCGGTGACACCTGTGTGCTCACTCATGTGCTGGGGAACCCCTTTTTCTTTTTTTGAGTTAGGAACTTTTCTTTTCAGTTGAAGTAGGGAGTGAAAACATAAATATACGTATAATTGTAGGTGTATCTCTGTTTGATTTAATGTACCCAATGTAGTTACAGAAACAATTGTGTTATAAAAAAGTTGTCGGTTTGCGGGAAATGTAATTCATTTAGTGGGAGAAATTCCTAACTATAGTTGAAAGTAACAGCCCTGCCGCAGTTATCGCGTTACTAATTAATGCATTCGCGATCGCTTTGATTGTGCGCTTGATGGATACTCGTGCAACGTCACGCATGCATGTCGTGTCCGCGCTGCGCATACGTTGCAACGTCTTGGCGGCTGTTCATGGTTAACCACGTGGTATTAGATACGTGTCGCATCTACTTGTGGAGATTGATCACAAATCACGTCCTCATGTGCAAATAATGTATTCTCGATTGATATTAAGTACCTACTTATGTCGGGTCGAACAATCTAAATTAATAAATATTTACTTGGAACTTAATATTTTTCATTGCATCATGAAGTTTCGAAAACAGTTTTTACATACTTTATTTACACGTAATTAGAGGTAATTTTATGATATTGATATTCGTTTTAAAAAGAAAGTTGATTTTTACTGTGGTTTCACTAAAAATCGTCATTTAATTTGCAAATTGTTAGCTCGTTGAGTAATAGTCACCTGGCGGCTGCGACCGGTGCGCGCGAAATCCACTCGAGCGCAGCGAAGTAGAAGCGATAAAAAGTCAACTTCTAGTTTGCATGCAAATAAATTGTTGGTATAAGTTCGTATGCAGACTTATTTGTAAATGATATTTGTTTTTGTAACGGCCACCGCTTCAGCCGCAGCGATTTGCAAGTCGATGAAGGGAGACAATGTCGAGTTTATGCAAATGGGCGAGGCGATAGCTCGTTGCCTCGGCTCGGGTGCGTTCTGTGCCACTTTGCAGCAGAGTGCAACCACAATAATTAAAATAAGTTACAAACTTATGTTATCATACTCTTCTTCTATGACGGACAGGTATCAAAACGACATGCGGTACTTTTGAGAACCCTTTAGATTAGAATGTCGCATTCACAGAAACTACGGCTACACAAAAGTGGCGACACCCCATTGCCGCGGTTGTCCGTTAAGATATGAGTGGTCAATTATTCGAGAACTTTAGCGTGTTAATTCGTGGTGAATACAATGACTCTTTAAGTTCATGACCGGAAGCCATCGTTTCACACGCCTTATTTTAATGTGTCGGCAAATGGAGTGCGGTGCGCGGAAGCGCGCCAGCGGCAGCGGCAAAAGGCGGTAAATGCGTATTAAACATGCAAATGCTACCTAGATTAGTTTGGCTTGACTGGCTCTTGTATAATTTCACATCGTATTGTCTCCAAACCGTGTTTATTGGATAAATAGTGGCGCCCGGCCGCTTGTTTCGAATCGATATTCGCTTCAATACGATTGAGAATTTAGATAGGTAGGTATATACGAGTGTTATATTACCTATGAAAAAGCTCAATTGATATATTCAGCATTATAAAACGGAATATAAAACTTCTTAGTGTGCAGTGGTAGGTACCGCACACGTGTCCAGACGTTATCAACGGATAATAAAAACCAATTTACCTTTGTCGATAGTTCAGCATTGCGATATTTTCCTATTGCAGCAGTACCCCTTCCCTCCTCTTCCCCGGCGGCAGCGTGGGGGTGCAGCGCCCACCGGCCAGTGGAGGCTGGGAGGTTGGTCGGCGGCACCTGCCGTAATATCCTATTTATGAATAATGTTTTATTCTAACAGCGTGCGGCCCGCGCCCCCCGCTCGCTTCAGGGCTGCCGGTTACCTTCCATATTTACATACTGATATTTTAAGCGGAGATCTACATGCCTGAAACACCCAAGAGCCTCTGTTATCGTGCATCGACAACGTTCTCAGTAAATACAGCTTTATTTAAAGCAACACAATAAATAATATCGCACGGACCTGTATCAGGTTCTCATAAATCTGAAACTTTATACGAGCTCCGTATCAGTTTCTGAAGTCGCGCCATGACGATTTTATTACTACTGTTAGATCATCTTTGTTGGGCAACTGTGTAACTGTAACGGCGCGGCGTCCATAAATCGGCATTCCTCGTCGGCGGCGGGCGGTGGCAGCGGCGGCAGCCCTGCGCTCGTTATTGCTTGCTTTGTTTCAGTGCGGGACGGGACGCGGGGGGCGCGGGGCGTCGCGGGACAGCGCGACTCTAATTAATGGAATAACTCTAGCAGTTCGCCCCCGCCTCCCGCGTTGCACCAGACGAGGGGGCAATCTTTAAAATATCGCTGTGCGCTGAAATTTTCGGACTCGATAACTGGCTAGCGTGAAATAGCGCGAACTATGGAGTTTAATATACAACTAATGAAGTATGAAAATGATGTGCACACGCGATGGGCGCCGGCGCCGGCGGTGCGTCCGCACGCACGCTCGCCGAGAATTCTGTATCACTGAAATATGTAGTAGGTATAATAAGCATGGTATTTTCAAGAACTTTATGTTTGTACCAGTGTAATTCTACGAGAATTTGGCAGGCATCTCGCTCGAGACGTAGATATTGGCACGGGCGTTAGACACGTCCACTTTCGAATGAAGGACGAAACTTGATTGATGCAGTGGCAGCTCTGGCGGAGAGTTCTTGTAAAATACTCGTTTTATGTTCCGTTTTCGTTCCGCGCCTTACATTATTATGATTTAGTGGAGCACAGTTGCAGCGCTGCAGCCCGGAGAAGGGGTTGCCGCCCGCTCTAGGGGGCGTGAAGCGCGGACGGGGAGGGGCGGGCGCAGTTGAGAAGTCAGCGATGGTAGTAATAAAGCCGGCCATATTTCACACTTAGCGCGTAATGAGCGCGCCCCAAATAATTGGATCACGTACATAACTCATTATTACCTCGCACCTCACTTCGCGCAAATGTATCATTACTCCCCGCGCCCCCGCGCCCCCGCGCTCCCTGCGGCTTCACTGGATATTGTTGAGGATGACGCAGGGACGCCGTTCGCCCGCTCCCGAGGGCTCCACTCATTAGCTAGACCTACTCGAACTAAAACAAAAGTTCCATTATGGCACCACCCAGGACTACTAAAACGTGAATGAATCGGGTTGACATCAGGCTTACATTTTTTATTGTTTCTCCGGTCGTCGCGTCGATCCTCAGAGCCGTATGCCATGTCGCAGCGGCGGCTGCGGACGCGAGCCACGGCCTTGACGGGTCGGCGGTGTACCGGCAATAAAATGCAAATGCACGATTGCGGCCGCTTAATCCTCGCCGTGACGCCGTCCGTCAGCGGTCAGCCGCTGCCGGAGCCTTATAAATCAGCGCGCGCGCACGCAACTGCGCCGCCGCGCCGCTCCGCCGTCCCCACGCAGTGTTATTCAACTTTAGCATTTACCACGCAGTTGTTAGCATATTCATGGTTCGCGTATAATTTCACTCTTTCTTTGCTATGAGTATGGAAATGGAAGAAAGTTCCCGCGAATAAAAACTGTTGCTACTGGTAATTGGCGGCAGAACGATACTTTTTGCGCTCGGCCCTGCGCCGCGCCAGTAATGCTACATCGATATCGAAGTACTGGCTATCAAATTACGGGACGATACTCCTCGTATACTTAGTAGCGGCATAGAGCAAACGTTAGCTTTAAAACGGACGTGGACAATTCCACGAAAGTACGAAAAGAGTATCTATCAATCAAGACCCCGTCGCACTCCGACGATGACAGTTTACGAAAAAAGCTACGTGTCCTTTGAAACGACAAATGAAGAGATAGTTGTAATTTTATTATCGTACGTTAGTGTGGGGTTCGCTAAGGTCTACCGTGAGCGACGTCGAACCAGGTTCGTTCTTGCCGTACTAAATTTGTTTGCGATGTGTAGGTCGGCACCGCTGGTCGTCGCCGAGCGGGCGGCACGATCGCCACGGGCCCCGCGGGGCGCCGCCGATGCTCCCAAAGATGCCGTAATTAAGCAATTAACTATCAGGACGCAAAGTAATTGATCCACTGTCCCGCCGCTCTTACCGCCCGCGCCCCCTAGTTGTAGTGTTTCATTTTGATATTTTGATTGCCGACAACGACGGCGATAGAGGCAGGCGCCACACGCCTCTCTTTGTTGAGCTGCTTTATCGACACGGTTATTCCAAACGATCAAAATGCGCAAAACCTTTAATTATCTAGTGAGATGACGATGAAACGAGGGAGTTGGTTATGAAATATTCGTTTATCACATTATTTTATCTAACTAATCAACCGGTTCCGGGAAGCCCCGACCGAGATAAGGGACCATATCTGGTCGTTACCGTTCCGTGGGTCAGTAGGCAGTAAGCAGGATCGCCGTGCAGCCACGTGTGCGGCGCAGGCGATTAATTTATTCGCGATTAGTGCAGCCGGTGAAAGTGGCAGTGTTTCTCCGCGCCTCCCGCACTTCCTGCGCTCCCGCGCCGCTCTGCCGAGTAGCAGTAGCCTTCGTCGGCACAAAAAGTCCTGTACCGTTATTAGGGCATTAGCCTCTCGTCCTGCGAGCTTCGCTGGCCTCACTAGAACGATGCGTCCCGTTAGCGGTGAACTTTGGGCGCGTGACATTTAGCGCAGCTGCAATGTTGCAGTGTCCGCCTGACCGCCCCCGCCTTCGCTTGCGCCTTTGCTGTGAATAGGTAATAAGAAAAATGTTCTAGCACTGCATATAGGTATTTACAGAACACAATATTTGGTATTGGATGTTTTTGGCTGTTTCAATGTTAAAGACGCCAGTCGACGTGCGTGGCTGTGTATTTGGTTCGGAGGTGAGCGGCAGTGGAGGGTGCGCGAAGGCCTCCCGCGCCGAGGAGGCTCTAATTGAAGCGGGAATCAATAAGTCAGCCTGTCATCCGCCGATATGATCGCCATGCGCGCGCGCACGATACCACCATATTTTACATCTTTAAATTTACAATTATGAGTGCAGATTATCGATTTGATTTCTGTAATAAAAGTTAATACCCGGATTTATTAATTATACTGAAGATCAACAAACTGGCACATTATAATATATTACTTACATTTAGGTAACATATTATAATACCTACTAGGTATAAACTTTTTCTGTTTGTCTTCGTAAAAAAAGTATGCACAGCGATATCTACATATGTGTGAGCTGGCTATACATACATGTAGGTATACACCCTGTGAATATTTTTGATGAGTCGAATCGGACGGTAATTTTAGACTAAAGATTTTCTTTTAAAATGTCAAATCAGATGGAACATCTTGTAAAACTGCTTAGGCCATATAATGTTATGAACAATTTGGAGTAAGAAAAGTATGGCAGCTTTTATGGGGTAAGGCTGCGCGGGTGATGATATCGCGGCACGAGCGGCTGAGTTACGGCCGCCGCCTCTGCCGCTGCGGCGCTGCGCCGGAGTTGCCTGCTCGATCGCGGCTTGCTCTCGCAGTGACCGGCCAAAACAATTACTGCATTCGGCTATTTGCACCATTTGGCACCGATTGCGTCCGAGTGCATATGTCCACCTGAATCACCGCGGCAGATAACCGCAAGCTACGATTACGATACGGTAGACTTGTTTAGTTCCTATCGGATGTTTGTCTTCCACGGCACTGTTCGAAAATAATAGCAGTGGCTATTGCAAGGTCGGACTTTGATTCTGATTTTGCTAATTATTCCAAAAATAGTTAGAACTTTTTTACTAAAAAAACTTTGTTATGTCCTCCTCATGAGCAGGCCGCAATTCTGCTGATTTTAAATCATCAATCAGTTGTGTATCGATAGAGTGTTAGGTCGGTAGGAATTCGTGCCTTTGGTATTAGTATGCTCAAAGTCGTGGCGGCGTCGAGATAGCTCAATCAACTGCCATTGCAACTAGATCTTAACAGAATAGCAAATGTGATCATAATTGCAATGTCATCTCAACATAATTACAACGAGCAGTGGTTTCAAGGAAATTAGCAGATTTGGGCCCCGGTCCACTGTACTGGGCTGTACCTACGCTGTTGAGGAGTTCCTCTCCTCTATCTACCACTTCTGTCTGTAACTTCTGTATTGCACCTACCTAAGCGGGTGAAATTGAATAAACCAGATTCATCCCCTAATTTTAAATTCTCAGAGGCAGATTAATGTCTTCAAATGTAAATTGCTTTCGAACAAAACAAAAAAATCATCGAAATCAGCTCACAAAAATTGGGGTAATCGCGTGACATACACACAAAAAATTGTCCAATTGAGAACCTATTCCTTTTTTGAGTCGGTTAAAAACAAGGCAACGGCACATCCGTCCGCCAAAAATGATGTTGCATGCATTACATTGTGAGGTGTAGAATTGTTATGTCGTAAGAAGATGAGTTTACGTAGCGTTATAGAAGCCGGTTGCGATAATCTGTTAAATTGTCGTTCGTCCGGTCGTCCCTCTGTGGCCGGTCGCCGGTCGCCGGTCGCCGCCAGTGCACAGCAAAAAGCGGCAGAATCCGCGCTCGTTACGTAATAATCGTTCGCCGCTAACTTGACGCTTCTCGGTTGAGGAAAGTTCATGCAAATTTGTCGTAATTTTGCACTCATAATTGATCTTTTCTCATGGTAATATTATAAAAGGTGAATGGTACGTAATGTAATCTGAGTGTCGAGTGTAATGTTAAATTTTCGTTATCCCAGAGTGGTAGAATTTACACTTACACGTGGTGAAGTAGTAAAGTTGCCGTCCCACGCCCAATTTCGTGGGTTCGTGGGAAAGTGTACGAGATGATAGTCATTGACAATAATGGCACGACTACCTCGGTCTTGGAAGATTTGCTGGCGAGCGTCTCGGGCGACATGATCGTGAGCAAATCTCGGAGCGGCATATTAACAGCCACAGCGGCCGGCAAAAAGCTGCCCATTCATATGCACGGGACGAGCGCGGTCAGTTTTTGCGGCGGCGGCGGCGGCGGCGGCCGGACGTTCCCCACGTTTTATTGTAAATTGGGCGAGGGCCTGCGCTGACGGGCTCGGACTGCGGCCGCGGTCGTAACGAGCCCGCGTCATTCAAATGCGCGACCAGTTTTTGTGCGCGAGCATAATTGAATACGAATGCTCTCGGCACGGATCTAATGTGTACAGCAGGAGGAGTAATGAGCTTTATTTATACAGCCCATCAGCGCAACGCCCCGCAGTGGATCCTTTGCTACTGGCAAAAACGCAGAAAGAAGTCTCGATATACTTGAATCACACGTCTATGAACTGTTCAATTCACCACAGGACGGCAACGGAGGTAATGTGGAAATTGTAAAAGAGATGCAATTGTCCGACCAGTATTATCTAATGTAGGTAATTCTATCCTCTGGGCGCGTGCCAAGCCGCCGCCGCCGGCGGCTTACTAACTGCCAATTTGCCTACTCTCTGCACGGAGCTGTTTGAACAGCCGGAACTATTTTGATTTCAGAAGGATATTGCACATTGCACGGTATTGCTTTTTAAACGGAACTTGGCCCTCTGCGAATGCGAGTAGGTGCAGATTTGGAATTGGCGTGGCGGGGGTGACCGGTCATAACAATAACTAAGGAGCTAAGAACGAGATCATTTAAATCTTTACGTAAGGAGAGAAGCTAAGTACCTCGGTGCGTTTTATGTACGAATCTGCTAATATATTACCTTATTTTAACTGCGGCTTGCATCCAGTCGACGGGTCGCATTCAATGTAAATGTGATTGAAAAGTAATGGCCTTGTTGCCAATTGACTCCCGCGTATCGATTCACGGCGCAATGATCGACCGCCGCATTTCATAAGGTGATGCTTACCGATCAGCAGCGATTAGTTTTTGCGCTGCAGAGACAAAGCCGAGGCGGACACCCCCGCAGCAGCGCCGCGGCGAGCGCGAGCGCAACCCGTCGGGGACATGAGAATAAATCCCGAGTAAAAAGCGGCCGTCCAACAGCGTTTTTTGCTGTTTCTTGTTATGTGCATTCTAAAGTTTTTGCTCGCCAATGTTTCCGACAAACGAGCTCGGACGAGTTTGCGAGTTTTTTCGTTCACCGCTGAAACAATGGTGGGCTTGCGATATGCGCGCAGTGATTGCGCGCGCGCAGGCGGCGCGGCGCATTTGCATGAGGCGGCCAATAGCGCGCGGCCACGCCCCGGCCCCGCCCCCGCCCGCGCGCGGCTCCAAAGTGCGCGCGCGCACGCGTGCAGCGCAGTAACGAGCACATGACAACCACCAGCCATTGTTCTGCTCGTCTCGCTTCGCGCGACCTGCGCTGGTGCAGCACCACTAATAGTTTGTGATAAACGGCGCATTAGTGGAATACACTTGGCACTACACGAATCCATAGTCACATCGTAGG